ACAAATCATGTTTACTCAGATTATGCCAATATAACAGTACAGTTTTTCACTTTATTTAGAACTTTAATTTGTGATTTAAGTTTGTAAAACTTGACTATTTCTATAAATTAGGATAATTGTACAAGAAAATAGATAAAGCTGCAAACAGTAATGCAGAGTTGAATAAAACAGAAAAAAGACAAACATTGTAGATATTCTCTCATTTGTTGATGTTAGCTTTGACTATTCATATATATATATATATTTAATTTTAAATACACGCTGAGACAATTTTACCAAACACGAGAGAACAATAAAGAAAAGAATGAATAAATAAACATGCTCAATGCCAAGAATGGGTTACTCCTTCTTTTGGTATTATTGGATAGTGAGGTCCTATATTTTCCCAAATCTTATAGGTTATTTCCATTTCTCTTATTTACCCTCCATAACTTGATAGTGAGAACATTTTGCTGAACATATCTCACACTTGAGTCATAGGACACATTGAAATCAAACTGATACTAATCTGCCATTTCACAGTGGTGAAAGTTATTGTCTGCTTTACTTAAGAAGAAAAATTTATTTATCTGTGAACCCTGTGAGCTATAATACTATAAAACCTGTAAAAACATGTCTGCAGTTGCAATATTGGCACAAAGATCCTGGGAATAAGCACTACTTTTCTGTTTGGGTTTAAGTCCCATTCCACAAGATGAAACACATATTTGGTACCATTTTTAGTTGAAGAGCCTATGTATTGATTAGCCATAGGAGATGGAAAGAAAATAATGTTGGTGTTTTGTTAAGCAAACATAATATTAAGTAATTACCAGTTACTTATCATTATAACCAGAAATTATTGCCTTTCTCAAACCTCACCATTAAATCATCAATTTTAAGTAGATGGTGATTAACACAGAGATCTACAAGTGGCCAAGGTGGACAAAAAAGGGCTTCAGAGTTCTCAGCCATAAATAGAGCATATATACCACACTTTTTTTGAATGTCCAGATATCATGCAGAAAAGAAGGCAGAAGGAATTTAAGAGACAGAGGAGATGGAAATAGTGTCTTCTGGACACAGCAATGCAGCTACATATATGAGCTCACAACAGTAATGACAACATGCACAAGACCAATACAAAGCCAAGTCAGACCAAATCCTAGAATGGAAAGAGTATGTGGGCATGAACTCTCAGTCCCTGGATAAGAACCTTAGAAACTGATACCTCCTGGGAGAATTAATGCCAAGTGTGGAGCTTGGTGAAAGTCAGTCATGAATGACCACTTATTCACAAATATTTGACCAACAAGAAGTGTTCTTGATGGTGAAAAATGTAAAATGTTGGGATCATTGGAAAGCGGAGTACATCCTTGAGGAGTTGAGAAAAGAGGGGGAATATTATCAAAATATTTTTATAAAACTTTAAAAAGAAGTATAAAAATAAAAAAAGTTGGAAACTTATAGAAGACCCCAGCTCTGAACTCCCCTTATCTCTCTCTGTCTCTCTCTCTCATTCTTCTGTCTCTGTTTCTCTCTCTCTCTCTCTCTCTCTCTCTCTCTCTCTCTCTCTCTCTCACACACACACACACACACACACACGCACACACACACACACACACACACACACAGAGACAGACAGACAGACACACACACCTTATCAATACAAACAGAAGCAATGGCAAACACTTCCAACATAAGAATGAGGCGACTAGCCAGGCAGTGATAGCACACACTTTTAATCCTAGCACTTCGGAGGCAGAGGTAGGTGGGGTAAGTAGATCACTGTGTGTTCATGACCAACCTGGTCTCTACAGAGTAATTTCCAAGACATACAGGACTGTTACACAGAAAAACCCTACCTTGAAAAAAAGTAGTTGAAAACATTACTAAACTGACTATATGTAAAGGACTTTAAACTATAGAAATAGACTTTTAGTTGCTCTCTTGGGCCAAACTCAGCAGCATGATGATTTAAGGAATTTAAGGAAACATAAAAAGTGATAAAGTACTTATGCATTAAAATACATTTTTATAGAAGATATGTTGAGCCCTAATTTCTCATACCTTGAAAACATCTTATTTGTGAATTGGCCTTTGCAGAGAAAACATTAAGTTGAGGTCATTAAAGTGACTTAATCTAGTGAGACTAGTGTACGTCTAATCAGGGAGGAGAATGTATATAAAGACACAGAGAAGTACATTGTAGTTGAGTCTCAGATATCCCAGATATGTAGCCTCTAAATTCCTGATTGCTACAACTTTAGAAAATTGATACAAGAAGCAAAAGTATAACCCAGCAACCCAGATGGAAAGCTCAAAATAAAACATTACACAAAGTAAAATTCAATACTAAAATAGCAAATGGAATATTGTTTCATAATATTTACAGTTCTCTAGTTAAGAGCACTCGCTCATTTATATAAACTCAGTCATTTATTCCATGCACCACACTTCTGGGATGTGACTTCTGCCTTTGTTATAAAGATGATAAATGGGCTAAGAAAGAAATCAGAGAAACGTTATTCTTTATAATAGCCACAAACATCATAAAACTCAAGTTTAACTGTATCAAAGACTTCAACATAAATCAAGCCACACTGAACCTCATAGAAGAGAAAGTGGGAAGTAGCCTTTAATGCACTGGCTGAGGAGACCACTTCCTGAATTTAACACCAGTAGCACAGGTACTGAAATCAACACTTGATAAATGGAACCTCCTGAAACAGAGAAGCTTCTATAATAAAAAGGTCATAGTCAATAAGACAAAATGGCAACCTACAGAAAGGAAAAAAAATCTTCACCAACCCCACATCTGACAGAAGACTGATCTCAAAAAATATACAAATAGCTCAAAAATTAAACATCAAAGTACCAAACAATTCAATTATAAAATGGGGTACAGACCTAAACAGATAATTCTCATCAGAGGAATCTCACATGGTGGAATGGCACTTAAGGAATTGTTTAGCATCCTTATCCACCAGGGAATATGCACCAGGGAAATGCAAATCAAAACAACTGTGAGATACTGTCTTATCCCAGTAAGAATGGCTAAGATAAAACACACTAATGAAAGCTTATGTTGGAGAGGCCATGGAGTAAGGGGAACACTCTTCCATTCTTGGTGGGAGTGAAAATGTGTACAGCCACTTTAGAAAACAGTATGGCAGCTTCTCAGAAAACTGGGAATCAATCTACCTCAAGACTCAGCAATACTACTCTTGGGCATATACTCCAAGGATGCATACTCATACCAAAAAGACATTTGCTCAGCTATGTTTATAGTAGCATTATCTGTAATAGCCAGAACCTGGAAACAACCTAGATATCCTTCAGCTGAAGAATAGATAAAGAAAATGTGGTACATTTACACAATGTAGTACTACTCAGTGATAAAAACCAATAACATTTTAAAAATTTCAGGCAAATGAATGGAATTAGAAAACACCATACTTAGGGAGGTAACCCTAATATAGAAAGATAAACATGGTAAGTACTCACTAACAAGTGGATGTTAGACATAACGCAAAGGATAACTAGCCTACAGTTCACAGTCCCAGAGAAGTCACGAAACAAGAAAGACCCTAAGAGAGACATACATGGATCCCCATAGGGAGGGACATTAGACAAGATCTCCTGAGTAAATTGGGAGCTTGGGAGGTGGGTGAAGGGTGGAAGTGGATTGGGGAGAAGAAAAGGGAAGGGAGAAGGAGAACTTGAGGGATCAGGAGGGACAAGTTGGGAAATGGACAGAAAGGGAGAGCAAGGAAAGAAATGTCTTGATGGAGGAAGTTATTATGGAGTTAGCAAGAAATCTAGCAGCAGGGAAATTTCCAGGAACACACGAGGATGACCCCAACTACTAAGCAATAGTGGAGAGCATGCCTTAACTTCCTTTCCCATGTAATCAGATTTATAACTACCCTAATTATCACCATAAAACTGTTGCAAACAGAATCAGAGATCCACAGATAAGCACTGAGCTGAGCTTCTGGAATCCAGTCATAGAGAGGAAGGAGAGGAGTGCTAATATGAGCAAAGGGGTCAAGACTATGATGGGGACACCCACAGAAATAGCTAACCTGAGCAAGTGGGAGCTCACTGACTATGGGTTTAGAGCTAGGGAACCTGCATATGACTGACTATCTTTCCCCTCTGAATGTCGGTGACAGTTGTATGACTTGAGTGGTTTATTGGGCCACAAGCAGTGGAACCAGTGTTTATCCCTAGTACATGAATTGGCTTTCTGGAACCCATTCCTTATGAATGGATACCTTGCTCAGCCTAGATCCAGGGGTGAGGTGGGGAGGACTTTGGTTCTGCCTCAAGTGATGTGAAGGATTTTCTTGACTTCCCATGGGAAGTCACTCACTCTCTTTCTCTCTAAGTGGATGGTGGTTGGGTAGGGAAAAGGTGAGAGGAGAGTACTGGGATCCATATGTAAAATAACATTGCCTTAAAAATAAAAAATAAAAAAAAGAAAGTTGGCATATCTACATTTTACTGACTTTTGTGAAATGATGTAAGGATCTTTAATATATATTGAAATATATATTCAGTTGTATATCTTTCCTAGTAACCTAGGATAATTGTTATGTTTATTAAGAGTTTTCTTGTATCATTTTTCCAACTTTAATCTTGAATATCCTAATTATAAAATATTCAAAGCACATTTTATTCACGTTTCTTTGAAAGGAAAGACTGTATATCCTTTTAAAGTGACAGTTGTTTCCTCATTAAAAGCAATATGTTCTATTTTCATGCTTTTCTCTATCACAGACCAACTAGGCTGAAAGTTCAACGCGATTTACTGTGATAAAAGTTTTTTAAAATAAGTTCTGGGTTACCTCTTTATTGTCTGTCTGCCTTAGTACAATGTGGTAGAATTCAATAATAGATAATTATTCATGTTTTTATATTAATAGTTACCAGGCAACCATTGACTATAGGCCTTTATTAATGATGGTTATTCCGATATTTATTTGCGGAAAAACAAAACAGGGAGCATTACTTACATTTAGAGCCTGATGAAGATGACCCACCAACAGTAGATCTGGAACCCCCTTTCATGGAAAAGACACCTTTTCCCCTACGTGTGGTGGTGACAGCCACTCTGGGACGCTTCAGGGGGATGACAGCTCGAGGAGGTGGAGGCACACGCCCATGATAATCAAACAGCCTTCACAAACACAAATGGTTGGGTGTTAGTAAGATGCCGAACCATTCTTAGAAACAAATGGAATTATTCAAAGAACACTCTTGTAAAATTTTGTTGCAAGTATATATTTTACCCTTGTTTAGTATTCACACAAGTTATTTATAATTAGTCAGTTTATTTTCAGGAAGCAACAGGATGCTTGTTCTGAATGTTAGAATTTAACCAGACTCTGAACTTTTGTAATATAGGAAAGGAGCTTTGCTGTGATAACAGAATGAAATCTGCCGAAATCAGACTGACTCAGTGTCCTTTGATATTTTTCTTTGCTTAAGTAAATAAATTTACACTAATATTGAACATACACTTGGATATTTATACATACATTGGGCACTTATTAAATTAACTTGAGAGTAGAATGATTATACAAAATCATGAGCAAAACTGCAAAAAGAAATTCTCTGTGTGAGGGGAAAAATAGAAATAAAATCAGCTTAAGAAGAAAGTATAGGAACCGTATTAAATTTTGTCCTGGTTTTCACCATGCTGAAGCTAATCTGGGGCCACTCTGTGACTGAGGCTAAAGGAAACAGCTAGCATGAGGGTACAGATGTTGGCTGAAAGAGTAGAGGGAACTGATAATTGTTCAAATCATTGTTCTGAGTGCTTTCCAGGTATGCAAATTAAAATGGAGACATTTGTAGAGTAAGTTAATAAAATGTTTCTAACTGAAAAGAAAATCAGTTAATTTCCTACTATGACTAAAAGAAAAACTAATATTCACCACAGCAATGGATTTCTCTGAACAGCAAAATGAATAAAGGTATAGGGATGTTAGCTCACATATGTAAATATGTCATTCAGAGATTTGAATGATTCATATCAACACTTCTGCAAACTCATATGCAGCAAAATTTTATATGACAGCATATTTGAGAATATAACACCTTCGGGAAAAAAATGCTGGCTTATATTTATTAATTTATTTCTTAAAAAATATTTGCTATCAAATAAGGTATGTAATTATATTACCAACAACAAAAGGAAAGATAGTATTGATTTATATTTATGGTTGTTATATATTTTATTTTGACACTATTACATGAATTTTAGTTTTGCAATTGATTTTAAGCAGTCAATATATAAATCAATATGAAATCCAGAGAATAAATTCAAATAAAATTCAGAGAAGAGAAATTAGAACAGGAAGAAAATAACAAAAAATTCACAAGAAATTATTTTATAAAAGTATTACTTTTGAACATATAATTCTGAAAATGTTAATTTTTTTGAAAATAATATAGGAAGCAATAAAAGTGTATACTGGTTTTTAATAGTTTGTTAAATATTTACAGCTATTACATCATAAAATAAAAGGAGAACACTTAAGTTTAAAAGGAGCTTTTTAAAACAAAGATAATCTCCTACATGCCTAGAAAGGAAAAGAAGTCAAATGTGGCAGAGATCAAGAGAAACCCTTTCTGTTTAACTGGCAAAGTCCAAGACAGCGGGGGCCTGCAGGCAAAGAGCAGTGGATGTCAGTACCCTAGGGTTCCCTTTGAAGTCCACAGCTGGAAGAACAGAAAGGGGTTATGAGTACAGGCCATACCAGCAAAGACCTGAAAACCAGAAGGGTCACGAAAATCTGCCCCTCATTTCAATCACAAAACAAGGCGTACATTAGTTATTTGTAAGATGAATTCATAGTGGTCCCTAAGTGAGGGGGCCGCAGCACCATACCCAAAACAATCAAAAGGAAGAAAATAGGATATTTTGTTCATCTCTTCAAATCAGAAATTATCATTTGAAATAAAAGTTTCCCCTCATTTTCCATGTGCCTTAAAGAGGTTCATTAAGTAAGCAAACCTACTCATTGTGTAAAGATAATAAGCAGAGCAATGACTTTGGGGATTCAGACAGATAAGAACCCTGATGGATGTGATGAGAAAATGAACCTCCACACTCATTATTAATCTAATTGCAATGCCCTTTAACCTTAAAAGACACTTTCTAGGTCACTGAAACATTTGTCAATGTGTTGTAACACTCTACAGGCTGTGTTCCACAACGTTTGTCTGATATTGGGCATTCCAGGTGGGTCCCTTCTCTCAATGTCTAGTGGCTCTCTTCGTCAAAGAATCAGGATGGATTTTCACCAATTAATTCCATGACTGTGGAAAACATTAGAGTTTAAGTGTTTTGTTGTTTTTCTCCTACCTCCCGGCAAACTCTCCTTTATTAAGCTGCTCTGAACAACAGTGAAAGTACCGAACTTTCTTCTCTCATTACAGACCAGGAATAGCCAGCATGCACAGCTTTGTATGATGGTATGTCATGTTAAATTAACTCAGTCTTCACAGTGTTAAAGCTTTTTTTTTTAAATTTGATTTTTATTGAGCTCTACATTTTTCTCTGCTCCCCTGCATGCCTCACACCTCCCCCTTTCAAAGTTCCCTCAGGTTCCTCATGCTGTCACTTTACTTATGAGATCTTGTCTCTTTCTACTTCCCATGTAAATTAGATCTATGTAAGTCTCTCTTAGTGTCCTAAGAGAAGTTGCCTTTTGTCTTAATGACAGTGTCCTTTGCATTGCAGAAGTTTCTCAGCTTCAGGAGGTCCCATTTATTCATTGTTGCTCTTATTGTCTGTGCTATTGGGGTTATACGTAGGAAGTGGTATCCTGTGCCTATGTGTTGCAGACTACTTCCCACTTTCTCTTCTATCAGGTTCAGTTTGGTCAGATTTATATTGAGGTCTTTAATCCATTTGGACTTGGGAGTCAACCTGCCTCAGGATCCAGCAATACCACTCTTGGGAATATACCCAAGAGATGTCCAATCATACTACAAAAGCATTTATTCAACTATGTTCATAGCAGCACTATTTGTAATTGTCAGAACCTGGAAACAACCTAGATGCCCCTCAATGGAAGAATGGATAAACAAAGTATGGAACATATACACATTAGAGTACTGCTCAGCGGTAAAAAACAATGACATCTTGAATTTTGCATGCAAATGGATGGAAATAGAAAACACTATCCTGAGGGAGATAACCCAGACCTAAAAAGATGAATATGGTATGTACTCACTCATTAGTGGATTTTAGCCATAAATAAAGGACATTGAGCTTATAATTCATGATCCTAGAGAAGCTAAATAGGAAGGTGAACCCCCCGCCCCCCAAAAAAAACTTGTAGTTATCCTCCTGGACATTGGAAGTATACAAGATTTCCAGGCAAAAATTGAGAGCTTGGGGGTGGGGGTGGGACGGGGGTAAGGGGAGATGGGGAGAGAGAAGGGAGAAGGGCAGAATGGGGAGAGCTTGGGGGAAAGGGATGGTTGGGATGGAGGAGGAGTGGATATGGGATCAGGGAAGTATATATCTTAATTAAGGGAGCCATTTGAGGGTTGGCAAGAGAATGGACTCTAGAGGGGTTCCCAGGTGTACAAGGAGATGTCCCCAGCTTGTTCCTTGGGCAGCTGAAAAGAGGGTGCCTGAACTGGCCCTATACTATAGCCACTCTGATGGGTGTCTTGCATGTCACCATGGAGCCTTCCTCTGATGATGGATGGAGATGGAGACGGAGACTCACATTGGAGCGCTGGACTGAGCTCCCGGGGTCTGATGGGGAGCAGAGGGAGGGAGAGCATGGGCAGGGCGGTCAGGGCCGGCCACAAGGGGTGCGCCCACCCACTGTGACGGTGGGGCTGATCTGGTGGGAGCTCACCAGGGCCAGCTGGACTCGGGCTGATGGAGCGTGTGGTCAGGCCGGACTCTCTGAACGTGGCAGACATGGAAGGTTGGCAGGGAGGCCAGGGACAGTGGCACTGGGTTTTTGTTCTACTGCATGTACTGGCTTTGTGGGAGCCTGGTCTGTTTAGATCCTCACCTTCGTGTACCTGAATGGAGGGGGGAGGACATTGGACTTCCCACAGGGCGGGAGCCCTGACTGCTCTTTGGAGAGGGAGGGGGAGGGGGAATGGGGGAAGGGGAAGGGAGGTAGAAGGAGGGGAGGATGTGAAAATTCGTGATGATGATAATGATAAAAAAGAGGAAAAAAAAACTAGAGGGAGAGGGAGGGGGTGAGTGGTGGAGCGGGAGGGGAATGGGAGGAGGGGAGGAAGTGGAAATTATTGAATGGAAAAATAAGAAAAAAGGGGGAAAAAACCTTTGGGCACCTCTGAGTTTATCAAAAGTGTAAGGAAGGAAGCTGGGCATTACTCTAATGCAAAAACTGCAATATGTGAAAAGGAAAGGGTCAGTTTCTGGACTTTGAATTTGGGCTAAAATTTTTAATGCAGAAGGACGTAGCAGGGAGGAGAAGACAGCTTAGTTTTTATTTTTATAAAAAATTCACAATATACTCTAAAATAAATTACTTTATCCTTATAAATAGCATTGCAGTAAGGACAGCTCATTTGAAATTATTGGCTGTCAACAAAAATTATAGTAAAGCACAATGGAATAAAAGCAAAAATTCAAAGGTTGCCTAAAGTCATTAATTTTTTGTCATCGTATTATTTCACTCATTCTTACAACTATATTTTTACACTTTTCCTTTGTGTGTCCTTAGATTTCCCTAATAGTGCTTATTCAGAAAAAAAGTTCTTCTGATACTTGTTTAATGGATAACATTTATTAAGAAGCCACTCATATCTTCCTTTTCCCAAGGTTATTTTTAAATGAATGCTTGAAAAGCCTTCCTTCCCCCTATTTGTCAGTGAAATAAATGCAGTAAGAATACTGCTGCAACCCTTAAAATAATTTTGGAGATTTTATTTTCATTTCATAAACTTTTAAAATTACATTTTTTTGTGTTTGAATAATGTTTGAACAAATGTTTGTGTTGAATAAATGTTTGTGTAAAGCAAACATTTACTTGTTTGCTTTAAATAGAGATTAATACTATTACTTCCCACAAAATGTTAAAAACTGATCAACTTAATTTTCATATTTACTTGATGAAATGGTTGTAGCTTTTCTCTTAGAAGAAAGGTATTAATTCATCCCTTATCCTTAAA